CAAAATCACACCAATCAAAACATACATAAATACATACATACACACACACACATATATATATATATATATGTCGATTCTATAAGAAAATTAAATTATACAAATATTTAATTTTACTTTACATTTACACACTATTTCTATAGAGGAAAATAATGAGTTCTTAAACCATAAGCTCTGATACCACATGTAAACTATAATTTATTTGTGCAAACCATTAATCACAAATAAACATGAATCCTAAGATTTTAGAACTTCATTATCTTCACAATGTTATAATGCATAAATAAAGTAGTTAGATATAAATATCTCTATTTGTAATTACAAATCTTGTTGAGATCAAGTCCAATGTCGAGATCATTTATCAACAAACTAAGCCGCAACTCTGAACAATAAGCAAAACGTGGAAACTGATTTATCTCTTTTGGTCTTTTGTACACAAAAACACTATTCGTGTTGTTTTCATTAGCGTATATAATTGATGGGATATATGCACTTTTATATAAAGGTAAAGAGATGACCAGTTTTCCTTTTAGTAACCTTAATTCCACTTTTCATCAAAGTAAGGAATAAATAGGAAAACACTTCTTTAATAATTAAATACTAAAAAGGTAATTTATAGGTTGACCAAATAATATAATATTAATCTGATATTTATTTACTTAACCACTAATTAATGAAATATATCATATGTCCAAATCATGTGGGACACACAATTAATAAATAATCTTACACAAAAAACTCTGTTTTGTTCAGTTTTCCTAAAACTCAGTTATAAAAATGTCTGTTTTCAGATAACTGTCTTTTATTATTCTTTAGAAACTATTTTCTGTTATCTGAATTCTTAATAACTGTTTTCAAAATTATAAACCAAGCAAGTCCCTATTATCTGAAAACATGTCTTTTTATAACTGAGTTTTAAAAAAACAATTTTCAGAAAATTGAATCAAATAGAGTTTTTTGGTATAATTTTCTGTTTTCAGATTTCTAAAAAAAAAAAAATTGTTCTCAGAATTACAAATTAAGCATACCCTTAGATTCTTGAAACGTTTATTTATTTATTTATTTTAGCAAAGAAGGAATATTAACTAGTTGAAAATAACTAATAAGTATGTGTTCTCCCTGTGTATATATATTCACATATATAGTCTAAAATATCTAATATCGTTATATCAGGTAGGATAGGCTATTTATCACATCATTTTTCAAATTTTGAAAAATCAAAATAAAAAACAGAAAGAATGGATAGAAATGCACTATATTCTTTAACCAAATATATTAAATCCAATCTCCAGATCATCACCGTGGAGTAGGAATAAGGATCCATTTAGTTCATTTTTTTAATGGCTCTAATTAGCTAATAATTGACCTAGTCAATCTTTATTGACTCAATTTTATTAGCTCATTCACTATTTTTAATTTTACTAAGTAAGAATAGTTGAACTCCAATTAGAAAATATTTAATCGGTAAGTCATTTTGCATAACAATCTTCTATACTTAATTAGTTATGGGATAAATAAATATCATTAATTTGACTACTTAATTAATACATTAATTTTGACTCATTGATTATTTGATTTAATAAAAATATATATTTAATATTACACCCTTTAAATCAAAATAATTGTTAATTAACATAATGGTCCATGCCTCTCTCATACTTTGTAATCATTCACTATAATAATAATGATAAAAAGTAATTGTAACGACAACTCTCACAATCGGCTCTATTTATCCTTGATCCGGTTTGTTACTTTATTGATAGAGAGTCCATCTTTTATCACCAATAATAAATCATTTATGATAACACAATTTTCGTAATTTGTATATTTCATACATGAATCCCTTCATACAAATAAAAATTATATGCGCAGTTATCTAAAATTCACCAATTATATATATTATATATTTAATTAAAACACATGTCGTATAAAATGTAATACGTGTCAGTTACAATTCATAAAAAAATAATAATAATAATAAAATCAAATTTGTTATGACAAGGCATACAAAACGAGCAATGTCAATATCTTACATTTGGTTGAGGCTTGAATTTTATTATCATCATATGCAAGCCAAGTGAAAAAAAAAAAAAAAAAAAAATTTCTAATATGAGAAAACAAAAAATAGAATGAGATACTATTGAACTACAATTCTTATTAAGAGGCAAATACTTACTGATCAGAATTTCTCACGACAATCAAATGACCTTTTCTTTTTTGTGTTTGCTCCCTCTTTTTCGTTTTATTATATATTTTTTTTATTTCTTATCATAGTACTCTTGAAGAGAATCAAAACTCAATATCTTTCCTTTGAAAAGAGGAGACATCAGTTATCGTATGTTTGGTACCATCGAATGAGTGTTTTGAATGTGGGATTTGGTGGGATTGGAGGAAGTCTAGTCTAACTGAGTGTGTATTTCGCGATTCTACTAAGAAGTTTAAGTTATTAGGTGAGACTAATACCCAGTTAATATATACTTAATAACTTTCCCATCCGGATTCGATGTGGGACAAACTCCCCCCTTATTATATTATCCTCCACCTGAACTCGCAACGCCCTCGTTGCTGTTCGGGCCACCTTGCCTATTCCCCTCTGAGCTAAGCGCTTTGTGTGATAGGGGATTAAGGATTAAGTCTGACTCTGATATTAACTGTAACAGATGAATGTTTCGCGATCTAACTCAAAAACTTAAGGTAATAAGTGAGTCTAACATCCTGTCCAAATATACCCAATCACTCGTCCATCGGAATCCGATGTAGGACAAGCTTCTCTTTGTTACACTTAATTCAAAATTTAAGGTACTAATTCGATGTCGCCAAACATAGCATTATTCAAATTACAGTTGTGTGCAAACTTGCATAGAAAATAAGAGAGAAAGTAGCCAGCGCAAATATATAGGATCTATGTTTGAGCTGAAACAGAGCCTAATGGGCTGAAGGCAACGATCTTTTACTAAAGATGCAACCCCCAATATGTCTACAAATAATTGGGCAAAACTTAAAGAAAAAGACCCAGATAAAATCCAAATCCTAACCAATCACGTGCCCAATCATTCACGTCGAATTGTAAAAAGTGTATGGGCACCAGCCCAACCCAACTCATCCCAGCCCAGCTCACCATTGTGTTTGTGAAAGTCCACAGTCAACCCAACCCAACCTGGCCCATGTTCGCTAACACAATGAGACATGGGCCGAGATGGGTTGTGTTGGATTGGGCTGGTGCCTATGTATGTGTTATGGAAGTCCACAGTTAACATGAATGGCTGTCCAAAACAGTCTCCATCAGCCCAACTTGCATGAGTTTACTAGACCGCTGATAGAATCCACTACATGCAGGAAAACCTAATCCAACTGTGAATAGTGTTGGATAAAAAACACCCATCGTAAGCAAATCATAAATAAGCGCACATAATAACACAATATTTAACCTAGATCGGCCCAACTTTGTCCACGTGCACAGACGATAAGAAATTTCATTATAATGAATCAAGAAGATAATATATTACGCTAGAGAATGCCCACTCCCTTAACGCTGCATTTCTCTAACGCCCCTTGCACCCACTCTAACAAAACATTTTCAGTCCATTACAATTCAACACCCAACTCAATTAAGAATTTGATACATATATAGGAATGGCAATTTCCTTTAACCCGACAGGTTTTCGTCCCATTCCCGCTCCTAGTGGGATGGATTTAGTGATCTTTAAATGGATTTGGGACGGGTATGGTATAATAACTGAAAACTTGAAGCGGGATTGAGGAAGGGGCGAACCAGCCCCTGCCCCGATTATATATGTATCTTTTAATTTTTTATATATATAAAATATATGTTTTATTTTTTAAAAACTCTGTTAGTGTCCGTTAATATATTAATATTCATTATTTAGTAATTTTAAAGTTGGCTCAATTTATTTATCAGCCCAATTTGAGCATATTAGGCTAGTTTTTATTTTTATTTTTATTTTTATTATTATTATTTTTTTTACTACGTAATAAAGTGGCATAATCCGGCCCGCCCCCGCCGCGCACTGCAATTAAAAGGAGTATATGGGACAGAGTTGATACTTTGTCTACTGGAGTAAAGGCGAAGATGGTATAACAATTACAAACCGTTCCGGAATAGGGGTGGAGTTGGTATGATAGATTTTCTAACGGACAGAGTAGGGTTTAGCCAAACCCATCCCAATTCCGCCCCATTGCCATCCTTGCAACATACATAACTTATATACTACTCTCTCCCTTTCAAAATTGTTGTATATCTTTCTGATTTTGGAATGTCTCAAAATACATGTCCCATTCCAAAAATGGAAGTACTATTTTTTACAACATTTCTAAACCATCTTTTTAAATAAACAAGTGTGCTAATTACGAAAGAGAATTTTGTCTTTTAATAAGGATTAATTTATAAACTTACGCTTATCAATAAAATAAAAAATTATTAAAACTCCACCACAATAAAAAGTTAAATTCCCTATATACCACTACAATTTTGGGACGGAGGGAATATATAGATGGACGACTGTTTTTAACATTTCTCATATTTAAGAACAAAAACACATATGGACATTATTCAGTAGCCTAATTAGTAGATCGCACAATTCCTTAAACGGGTGTGCCCGTATTTGAGTCCCCCTCCCCTAATTTGTTAGGGCAAAATATTAAAAAAAATAAAATCAAGACATAAGGATTGTCCTTCCATGCCCAATTGTCTTTGCAAAACAATGGGGAGACAAGAAAATTGTGCAAAGAGTTTTACTAGTTGGGCCAAAAGAAATTGTCCTTGTGCAACACAAATAATTCTCTCTTTTCACACCTTTTTCAATGAAAGCCAATTCTCCAACCAATCAAATGTTGAGTGAATGCCAAAGAGACTCTTGGGTGTGTATGTATGTATATATATATATATAATAAAGTATATTTGCCTTTTCAACAACTACTACTTAGGATAGGAGGCTTTATTTGAGCAAGCATGCTGGCCAGCCATGGAAAAGAGCAATCAGTAATGATTAAAATGAAAGTTTATGGTATGATTAAAATAGAATATATCTAACATATAATTAAGCATATATATATTATAATTAATTATATGTTAGCATCCAAAGTACAATATTGTATGAGCTACCCATCACTTCTACTATGAACACTAATTCTTTTTAGTCTTCTCCTTTTTCTCTCTCTATTCTCCTCCCAAAAGCTGTCATTACATTATTATATATGATGCACAATCAACAAGCCGCCGAGGGATGTCGGGAGTGAAGAATGGAGGAGGACACTTTTAACATGGTGGTGGTGGTGGTGGGGTTGTTGGTGGTGGTGGTGGTTCTGGTGGGGCCCTTGTCGAGGACGGTGGTGGTGACGCGCTCGCACCTAGGGCACATTGTCAGGGTGGATGCCGGGAGTCGTTCGCAACTGTGGGGCGACATGACGGTTGGGGGTCCCACCCTCAGGGCCCTCAGCTCTTCCACCTCCTTTTGTAGCCTTTTGTTCTGTTCTGTAAGTGACCCAAACCATCTCTTCAAGTACTCGCACTCCATCTCAGTCTGTTTCAGCTTGCTCCTGCATTATATATATCCAAACACATTATATATAAAGTTGCATATATAAATACAAATATATATGGCCTGCAATGAGTAGGGCTACTAATGATTTGAGTTGATAAGTGGATATGAATATGAATATTTGTCTCACACTTCTGGTTCAACATCCACCTAAGAAAATAGGTTCAGTAATTAAATTTTATTATGTTATTGATTCAAATGAGTGAAATGTGTCTATATCAAACCTTATATTACTTATACATTGGTTTATTCTAAAAAATAAAATATTAAATAATATAAATATTTAAAAATGTTAATGCATTTTTATGTTAAATAATCATAGCTGACACATGTAAGCGAATTCAAATTAATAACATTTGGTAGACTCCTTTATTCAATGAGTCCAAGTAAAACAACCATAACGCTAAGTAGTCGTTACAAAACAAAAATCACCTCAAATTATATATATATATATAAATAAAAATTTAAAATTATCAAAATGAACATGACGAATTTCTTATAATTTGTTAATTGATTGATTATTATTTTCTTGTCTTAAAAATAATGTCTTTTTTGAGAAACTTTAATTTATAATTTGTAAGTTATATTTCTTCAAAATAGACAAATTCTAATACCGATACTTAAACTGGGGACGGAGAGAATATTTATTTTAGAACAAAGATAATATTATTTAATTTAGCTCGATTCGATTGCAATCCTAATTTGAAGGTTGACCCTTGAATATGTCGATCCTCGATGCAAAACTCCTATGGAAAAATGTATGTTGGATTGAATCGGATCATTCCATGACAAGTTGCAATCAAACAGATGGGATGTGATAGATATGGCAACCACGAAGACAAAACGGTGCCGTTTTGGGAGGAGTACCCACACCTCATAACTTCTTTTTCATGCTATATGGAGTAAATAGGTTGTCTTATTAATGGTGGCTTGGTGAGTGTAATAAATGCAATTTTCCCCATTTACAATGACTTCACAAATGCAAATCTATGAAATAAGATCATAAAGTTAATCTCACAAAAACAATAAAAACAAATCATAAAAAATGAAGTAAATTTGGTCAATAAATATCATTATAATTTAATTTACTATTATTACATAAACCGTTAATTTCATTAAACTTCTTAATTTCTTCAACCCCTAAATTAATTAATCATATATTTATAGCATGAATATAACAGAAAATATTTGACCATCTATAATTAGAGGTATACATCAAGTTGAAGTAACATATGCATTTAATTAACTTCCAAAAAAAAAAAAAAACATACGCATTTAATTATATACACAAATGCCCCTAAAAATATACCAGAGATAAACAGTCTATTTCTTTTTCTTTTTTTTTTTTTTTTTTTTTTTTTTTTAAAAGGAATTATTATCAAGTCATATCTACGACTACAAGAGATGTTAAAAAGAAGTTGAAAAGAGAATTTTTTTTTTTTTTTTTTTTTACTTCATTCGATGCTTGTAAATCTAAGTTTTTACATTTATATCAACTAATAACTTCAAAAATTTAATTATTCAATGTTTGTTCTGCCTAAAAACAAACTTAATTTCTATTTTTTGGCACAAACAAACTAACCCCTCTCAGACTTATACATGTATTCTTGACAGTCTGAAGTTTCATCATTGTGACAAGCATTGAACCTAATTTGATTATTATAGTTAATAATTTATAAAATAAAATAAAATAAAAAAAGAAAATAAATGCATGACTGGTCCAAATAATAAAGGTGTTACTGCATTTATTTGATGGACTTGACTGATAATAATAATGAAGGGCAAGTTCTTGAAATGTCTACTAACAAAAAGGACTAACACATGAAGCCAAACAACACGTGGGTGTTTAATTATTATCTTTCAAAATCATCTCGTACTATCATTATTACGATTTGAGCAAAACTATATATATATATATATAAAGTTCATAAGATATTTCATCTTTAGAGTAACAAATTAATTAATTTTTATTGAGTTTATAGGTGTTCTTTAACAAATTGAATGATATAAGAAGGATTAATAAATTAAACATTCATAGTCGAATGATACATAGGTTACAAATGCTCATATAAAAAGCAAAGATAAATGCTTAATTGATCACCTTTAGTTCTGAATATATATATATATACACACATATATATATATATATGTATATATATATATAATTCTTTTGTACTTTAATCCTAACAACCACCATCATGATTAATAGGCAGGCAACAAACCATTTCACACACTAATACACGTAACAGCACAGTACCTTGCCCTACGGTTTTGAAACCAAACCTCAACTTGCCTTGGCTTCAGCTTCAATTGCATTGCCAAAGCCTCTTTTTGTTTCTGCCAAAAACACATCTCTAGAAGAATTAGACACACAAATACATATATCTAGATTAATACACCTACATATATATTTATACATAAATTTATGTGTATATGCAAATAAAATTAATACACACGTGTGTGTGTGTGTATATATATAGAGAGAGAGGATCCAAGAGAGAGAGAGCTAGAGAGGGTTGATTACAGGGTTTAAGGTGTGGTTGTGTCTGAAGCTTTCTTCAAGGAGACGAGACTGTTCCTTTGTGAGACGGAGTTTCTTACGCGGAGGACCGCAGCTGTTGTTGCTCTGATCATCTTCATCTTCCATGTTTGAAGCAAACCATTCTTCTTCTCCTGAGGGTACTCGATTTATGTCCAAATTTCTCACTATATTCACACAAAAAATATATATATATATCAAATATTCATAAAAATAAAAATAAAAATATTTTATCAACAAATTATATAATATCCCATAAAACCCACCTTTTGTTTGATAGATAAACATGATAAACCATTTAAAAAGAAAATTTTGCGAAGGAGAAAAATGTATAAGAAAATGAAGAGAAAATAAAAAATTACATATAACCAATATGAAGTGTCATGCAAGAAATACAATTGAAGGTCTATATTTGAAAAATAAAATTTATTATTAAATGATAATAAAAAGAAGACAAACATCAAAACTCAAACCCCATGAGATGAAAAAGAGAGAGTGATGTATAGAGATTGTTGCTTACCAGAGGGAGGAAGATGAGATGAAGATGAACTCAAGCCTGGTATGGACATGGTCAACTCCAAGCATGAAGAATTTTTTGGTAGAACTGCCATGAAAGCTGCAGAGAGATAGAGAGAGAGAGAGATTTTTAGAGAGAGAAAATGTGAAAAGGAAAGGAGACAACAGAGAAAGTAAGAAATGGAGAAAGGTGAGAGTGAAAAGGTCAAATAAATAGAGAAAGAGAGAGAGAAGTTGGAATAAATAGAGATGGCAATGGTCCATGGACCTAAATGGGTTATTGGGGGAGTTATTTGGGGGTTTGCTTAGGGTTTCTTGACTGTTGTCGTCAAGTCAAAGGTTTGACCCCGTCTGATGCACGACACGTGTCTGACTGATCATGATCTACAATGTAGGTGGACTAACCGGCACGGTCCACTGTTTGAGCCATAGGGGTTGAGTCTGGTTTGTCGGTCCACAAGGTTTAGTCAGCTGGTTAAATGATTGGGAAAACCCTAGAGACTCAAACTCATCCAATGTAATGCACATCCCTTTATTATATAACTTGCTACAATTATAGTATTTTAATGCCCATATAGATCATATTTGTATTAATATATATATATATATATTTGATAATATCAGGGTCTACAAGACCATTAGCTTTTGAACTGTGATTAGGAGAGTGATGGATGATCAAGTGGGAATGGAAGATTGTACATTGTGGGGCCATGTGAATGTAATGATATATGGGTATGGTGCAATGTGGATTGTCATGTATTGACTCATTGGGTAATGAGGCATTTATGACAATTTACCTGTTTGCGGGTACAGAGGAATTGTAACATCCCTTTATATTTATGCCAGAAGAAAAGAGGCATTTATTAATGAAACGGAGATGGACAAAAGTCCTTTATTAATTATGAAGTTCTGCTTGACTATGCGCCTGACTATGCGCCATTCATCAGTCACCCTGTACTAGTGTTGCAGAAGTGTGTATATATATATATTCTATATATATCTATATATACCTCCTTTTTTATTTATTTATTTATTTTTATTTTTATTATTTATTTTTTTTTTTTAAGAATAAAGTATAAATAACCCCTCAACTATATTTTGCATATAATACTTCCTAAACTATCACATTTTATTGCAAAATACTTTAATGTCCATACTATATTTCATTAAATGATCATAATATCTATTCCTATTGAATTATACTTAATCTATTTTTCTTATTTAAATGAAGGATAAAGTACACAATGATACCCCATGTCAGAATTGTCATCCTAGCAAGACCTTAAATGGTCCAAAAAGATAAAATTGTCCCTTAATATGAAAATCAGTTTTATTGTAAAATATCAAGACATGTTGAAATGTCGAAATTACCCTTGAGTTAATATGAGCTACAATATGACACCAATTTTTTTGTGTTGAAACTCACTATTTTCTCCAAGGTATTGTAATATTCCGATTGGTGTAAAATTTTTAACAAAGGTTCCTCTGCATGTCTAGTTATTCTTTGAAAAATTTCGTACTTTTTGGCAAAATAGATATGTTTATAAAAATTAGACAATAGCTACTACTTGGATTTTCCACTATTTGAAATCAAGTTTTTAATTTATTTATTTGATAGCCTTTTGGACATCGGATCATCACCAAAATTTTTAGTTTTATACTTCCATGAGTCTACTTTCCAAAACATTTTCGTTTGCTCCATTTTAATTTCAAACAAACTTTCTATGAATTTTTTTTTTCACTGTTGTGTAGATTTTTCCTTTAACTTAGCTCTTCAACTTTTTTGCATTAAATGTTAATGAGGGGTAGATTGGTCCAATTCATTAATTTGTAAAGTTAAAAAAGGTCCACTAAATGGTTAAAGGGCAAGTTGGTCAACTCCCAATGTGTCACATATGGCAGGTGGTTACAAGGAGTGTCTTTGTCAACTTTTTCAAACTTCAAGAGGTGTCATTATCCAAAAAATAACCAACTTGTATATGACTGTCAGTATGGCAAACCTCAGGGGGTGTTATTGTACTTTACCTTTAAATAAATTATGAAAAAAATTCATACTAATCTTCTCAATTCAGTTCTTATTTCATTTTGGAGTTTTTGTCATTAAAGGGAAAAGGAGGAGATTATTGATCCTAATAAGTACCAAGTGGTGTTTGTCTGTTTAATGTCAAAAACTAGTGTAACAGAGCTTTCAAGGGTTTATACCATCAGCATTGTGCTGTATAGTAGCTTAAATAATCACACAGGGGTAGTATTATCTTTTACCATCTCGTGACACAATTATACAAGGGTTTGAGATAATACATTACAGTCATTATACTTGTTCAGGCTATTTTTCTATGTAAACTGAGGTTCAGCACATGAAAATTAGCTACAGTGTTTTGCAGGGGCATTATGGTCTTTTCACAGGTGTATTACATATTTATACATATGTTCAGATAGCTTCATTGCATTGAACAATTTTGATTTAGCCTGCATTGTGAATTATACAGTTACATGATCTGTATTGTGCTGAGATTGACAAGTGGTTGTTACAAGGGCATTTTGGTCTTTTTACTTAGAGCTCAGGTGTGTGACACGTGGTTGTGGTTCTAGAGTGAGAGTGTATACACTACAAATGCATTTCTTAGGGCTACGTTTGGATAAGAATTCTATTACAGCCTTCTTTTTGTAAGTTGTAATTTCTGGTATACTAGTGGACAAAACAGTTGAGTTGGCAAGGGTATATTGGTCTATTCATAGGAAAAATGTTAGAACATTCTCTGACCAATGATTGTATAAAGGTTCCATGTGTATATCCTTCTTTATGTAGGACTTGAATATATATGCTGTTATAGAATTTCTAGGGTTTTAAGCCTTGTTGAAAACCCTAATACTGACCTGCATTATACTATACTTGAGAGCCTCTCTTGAACAAATATTTCTAAGGTCTTTGATGATGATCTGAGCTTGAAATCTTCATAGAAATGTCACTGAATTGATCCTTATTGTTGTATTCATCATGTAGGTTCTTTGTTGTCAAGAATTGCTGGTGCAAGGCTGGTTTGAATGTTGAGTTTGAGCTTGAGGTTGCTGTGGTGTTAAGTTAAGACTTAGATAGGTATATTTGAGCTATTTACATTTGTTGAGAACTTGTTCTTGAATTATACTATGCTGCAAATGAATTCTTACTCTCAGATATGTGATTTGGGCTATTTGTTGGTTTAACCTTATGATTCATAAATAAATTGATTACATCTTGCTATACAATGACTAATTTTCATGCTTGCAAGTTTGTATTGATGAATCAAGGCTATTGAAGTTAATTTTTGAATAGAACTTTGGTTATCTCAGGTTTTGACCTACCAAAACCCTAAGTTCTTAAGTGAACAGTTGATATCAAAGCCTAATTGAGATTACACTGATATATACATGTTGTACTTATTATGTTTATTATTTGAGCATATTTGTAATGGTGATATAAGGTTGTGGGATTGATCTCAAAATATTTAGGACACAAATTCCCCATTTTACCCCTCAAACCATAGTTTATGCAGAAAGGGTTCTAGAGGCTATATATTGGTGTTTTGAGCTGCACAACCATTCTTATATTTTGTGTATGCTTGAATATTGTTGATATACATTCTTTTATGTGCATTTGGTGAGCTGTGAGAGCTTCTAGGGTCTAAGCAAGGGTGCTTAGGATAAGGGGTGTGCATTGTGTTGAGTTAGTGTGTGTGTGTAGAGGCTATGAAAACTAGTGTCTTAACTTGTACAAGGGTGTGTGCAAAGTGTGAGACAGTTGAGTATATAACTACTTGCATACAACTAGTGGAGATTTTTATTAGCTGAGGCCAAGAACTAAGATTTTTTCCTATTGAGAGGGTTTCCTTGTATATCTTATGTTCAGTGCCTTATGTGGATTTGTTGATCTTGTTGTGAACAAAAAGAAGTTTAATTTGACCAATTCACCCTCCCTCTCTTGGTCTAACAATTGGTACCAAAGATTTAGTCTGCATTGTAAGGTTTTAATAAGCCTGCAGTTAATCCTAGCAATGGAAGAAGGCCAAGTCACAAACAAGGCATCAGGGTTTGATGGTTCTAACTACGATTCTTGGAAAACTAGAATAGAGGCCTTTCTAATGTCTCAATCCTATGATGTTTAGCATGCCGTTATGTTTGGCATTGTGGTTCTTAATCCAAATAATCCTTCTGCAGATGATAAACTTATTGCTGTTTATGATGGAAGGGCCAAACATATTCTTTTCTGTGCTCTTAAACAACAAGAGTTTACTAGGATTAAAAATTGTAAGACAACTAAAAAAACGTGGGATTCTCTTAAGGCTGCTCATGAGGGAAACAATATAATCACGGAAAACAAGATACAACTTCTAAAAGTTCAATATGAAAACTATAAGATGGAAGAAAGGGAAGCTGTAGTTGATTATCTGTTCAGAATCAATGATATAATTAACAATATGAAGGCTCTTGATGAAGACACCAAAGATTCGGAAGTGTGTGATGCTTTCTTGAGTGTTACACAAAAATAGTGTTTATATTTGCAATATCAAATGTGCATATACTTTTACATTTATAAAAGCCACGTAACGTATACATTGAGTATAGTGAGAAGGGATCATCCTCAGGGATTAAACATGTTATTAGAATCTAATTTGACTTAGTGATCATGACATTGAAAGAGAGTATGGTTTGGTGATTAAACTAATGCTCAATTTAAAATATGCAATGGAAATTAAGCTAAAATGACTAGAGTTTAAGAGATAGAAAAGGAGTCTTAGGGCATAGGAATCACCACTAAGCTCATGCACTAAACTACTTACTTTCAATTAATCGGGAAAACATTATATTGTAATCAAAATGTGGCTACAAGCACACATTAATCAAGAGGATAATAAAATTTGCAATAATAAGCATGGACTATCAAATTCAAGTGTGAATTATCTACCTAACTACAATCAAACTAAAGGTGTAGTGCAATCGATCAAGTCTAAGCATAATCCATCAAATTAATTGACAATTGTATCCAATAAAAACCATGCATAGTCATCACTAAAAAAAACTACAAAAAGCTTTTAGTGTAGAGATCAATTCTCAATTAATCACACATAAAACAACATGCAACCAACATAGAGAATCAATAGGAAGAATTAACAATAGAAACCCTTGGAAAAACCAGGTTTCATTACACAAGACT